GACTGAAGCTATAACAAGAGATTTCATGGCTGAGCCAGGCAGGAGTTCTGCCCTGCGGCTACCCCAGAGCTCAGTGGCCTCCACCCAGAGACAACAGGCAACACCCTCTCCAGGAAACACCCTCTCCAGGAAACACAGAAGATATCTCCCAGGGGCTTGGGAGGCTGAGGCAGGAGGATCTCGAGTTCAAAGCCAGCCTCAGTAATGGCAAGATGCTAAGCAACTCTGAGACCCTGTCTCTAAAAAAAAAATACAAAAATGAGGACTGGGGATGTGGCTTAGTGGTCGAGTGCCCCTGAGCTCAATTAAAAAAAAAAAAAAAAAAACTCAAAAGCTGAAAAGGAGGAGATGACTCTTACAGATGTGATAGGTCAAGATTTCAGTTTTTTTTTTTAATTGGTGCATAAAAATCTTATAGAATAGTGGCTTTGTGTCATATTTCTATGTGCATGTGACATAATTGGATCCATTGCACTCCCAGTTCCTCCTTACTGTCTCCTCCTCCCTCTCCCTGCTACCCTTCTTCTACCAAGTAGTCTTCCTTCTACTTTTATGACATCTGTCTTTTTTTTTTTCTTTTTTCCTTTTTTCCCCTCTGGCTTTCACATATGAGAGAAAACATTGAATTTTTGTCTCTCTGAGTCTGGCTTATTTCACCTTAATGTGATATTCTCCGGTTCCATCCATTTTCCATAAAATGCCATAATTTCATTCTTTACAGCTGAATAAAGCTCCATTGTCTATATGTACCATCTTTTCTCTACCCGGTTACCTGTTAATGGGTACCGGACTGATTCCTTAACTTGGTAGTTATGAATTGTGCTGCAGTAAACCTGAGTATGCACAGATGTCTAAAGTATGCTAATTTTAATTCTGAACAAATACTGAGTCGTGGTATGTCACGTGGTACTTCTATTTAGTTTTTGAAGATTTCAGTCTCTTAAAAGTCTATAGTCATGCCTGTTGCTATGAGGAAACAAGTGCAGCCCGAGAGGAAGGTAAGAGAGGTGTAGCCCTCTAGTCCTGGCCACCTGAGATGGGGCTGGCACCAGGAAGCAGCTCCTGATATAGAACATGTGAGTGAGCAGCAGAGGCTCCTGTGATGTGCCCTGGCTCCTTCCTCAGTGGAATTCCAGAGGTCAGAGTGATGGAGGGACATAATGGAGTCTACTTACTGCTTGTTAGCTCGAGTAGGGAGAGGTTGAAGCTGGTGGCTGAGCAGGATAAGGCAGCAGGATGCTGGATGTAGCATAGCCAGCCCGCCCTAGTTGAGCCACTTTCCTCAGGCCCTAAATGCCACAACCTTGGTACAGGTGAAGACCCAAGTCTCCTCTAATCTTGACTCTTTACCTATACCTGAGTGGTACTTGTCTCGTTGTGCTTCAGGAAGTATTGGGATTATAGTAGCTTGTGGGCAGTGTAAGTTAGAGTTCTAGGATAGCAAGGGGGAGAGCAGTGAGGGAGATGCCCCTGTTCCATAAGAGGAGCCACGGCAAGGTCCTTCGGTTCTTAATAGTGAGTTAGACATTGAACAGGTTAATTTTTTTAAAAAGAAAACGAACAAGCTAATGAGACATTATAGTCAGTACTCTGAAGATGAAATGACTATATTTATATAATAATGATGTGTTGGGAAACAGGCAGCTAGAAGGCTGCCCGGTTTGGGTGGGTGGCCTAGGTTTCTGAGGTCATTGACATTTGAGCAGAGACCTTGGGAATGAGGAGCATCTGGCCAGGGGAGAACCCATGGGAGAGCATCCAAAGAAGAGGGGCTGTTGTGGAGGGTAAAGCCAGGTTTGAGACTGGGGAGGGGAGGCCCACCTGATAACTGCGGGGGCCCAAGCCCACTATGCCAGGATGGGGAACTAGGGCAGCAGTGATGAACAAACCAAGAGAGAAGCACCTCTGACTCGGCCAGGGTCAGAAGAGGGGAGCACTCAGCCAGCAGAGTTTCACCTGTTCTTGACCTAGGAATGTTGACGTGGGAGCTTTAGGAAACCATATTCCTTAATCTTTATTTTTAGAAAAAGCTGGAATGTGCTTGTACCTGAAGAGGAGGATAGTGGGAAATGGCAAAGCTGTCAGCAGACATAAGAATGTGATATACACATGCACAAGGCCCTCTTGGGTTCAATGACCAACACCACCAAGAAAAAAAAAAGAGTATGTTATAATTGCTGTATGCAGCGGGAGAAGGCCTAAAAGGCACCATGTGACACAGGGTGAAATCTCCATGCTGACCCACAAGGACTGTGATTCTCCTCCAGCAAGGGAGGCACCCTGCCACTTGACAGAAGTCGTAGACAGAGAGGTTGGTAGGGCTTTTCTGCATAGTTGAATCAAGATGCACAGGATTACTAAAGAACTGGGAGTGTGGGTGAGTGGTGCCAGTGAGAAGAAGATGGGAAGCCGACAGAGAAGTGGGCAAAGACTTAAGAAGACAGCTGTGAACACAAGAAGGCCTGAGAGAAGCCTGGAAGCAGGCGTGGCAGGTGCGAGGCAGGAGTGCTGAAGGGTCCAGAGTCAGAGAGGGTTTAACTCTTCAGATACTTTGATTACCTCAGAAATGCTGTTTTGTCTGGATCCTGGTTCAGTGATAAGTCTGCTTTCATTAAAAGGAAATGGTTGGCAGGCAGGATGAGCTCCAGCGAGTTCTGAACCTGTGGTGAGACATTGTCTTTTACTTACCGCCTCTGCCATTGCCAGCTTTTGATCTATGTGAAGCACACTTCTCTTGTCCTTTGAGCAGTCAGAATGGATGTATTAGTTGCCATAGTTCTGTGAACAGGCTTCTGTTGGGTGCCTCTGGTCACTCTTCAGTGTTACACCACAGCCATAATTGATGGACAGTTGAGTTGCAAGCTTTTAGGACTAATTGCAAACCAAACTAAAACATTTTCTGGAACCACGTTTAAATAATAATGATAATACCTTGTATAGATATAGTGCTTTACAATTTACAAAACACTTTCACATACATCAGCTTATTTAATCTTCACAATAAACAATGCTTTTTGAATGCTTAGATCTTTCCTAAGTGAGAAATCACTTTGCACATCCTGATTTAATTAGAGTGAGTCACCAGAAGTTGTTGGTACAATAACCATCTCTTAAGTATCTTCTATGTACAAAGTACTTCACTAAGGATACCAAGGGGTAAATTTTCAGCAAATAAATATCTAATAAAAAGTACCTGTCCAATAAATGTGATTTTTGCCTCCTGATTCACTCACTCCTTATAGTCACTCCTTTGGAGGCTGCTTACCATGCCATAAATGCATGAAAATATTGCCAGAAACTCCTTATATCATATTTGAAAGCTTTAAAACTAAGGATTTTAGTACTCATCTGGTACTCATCTAAGCTCAGTGATTCTTCCAAAAGTCATTCTATTTCAACTTTCAGTTTCTTGAAGATTATCCATTACTTAAATCTCTACAAAAACATTTGAAGCTCCCAGCATGTTTGAAGATGCTTGACCATTGAGTTCATTGTCTTGCTTGGAGTGATTAGGTTTGATTCAAGAGTACAACTTTGCTCTTGCCCCCAGCAAGCTTATTATCCACTAGAAAAGAAGAAAGACGTGGTCATTGTGTTAGATTTTCCTCACTGTGGCCAAAATACGCTACAGGAACAACTTAGAAGAGGAAGAGTTTATTTTGGCTCACAGTTTCAGAGGTTCAGTCCATGGTCATTTATCTCCATTACTCTGGGCCCAAGGTGAGATAGAAGATCATGGCAAAGAGTGTAGCAGGGGAAAGCTGCTCCTTATGTGGCAGCCAGGAAGCAGAGAGTGAATGGGAGGAGCCAGGAACAAAATACAAAATCTCCCAAGGCATGCTCCCAGTGACCCACTTCCTCCAGCCACACTCCACCTGCCTACAAATTGCTACCCAGTAATCCCTTCATATTTTCAGTACATCAAATGGGTCAGTCTGTTGAGTAGGTTATGGCTATCATTTCAACTCCTGCTTTAGTGCAGGAACTTTTCAGGGATACATCATACTTAAAACAGTCATCTCTAGGTTCTGTAAATCAGACTGGGATGCTATAAGGGGCTTGGAAGACAGGACTTCCTGGGAGGCTGCCCTCTAGGTGAAGTGGAGGGCAAAAGATAGTATTACTCAGGCCCACTCACAGGGCAGGACTCCTGAACCTGTGACCCCAGGCCTCCGGAGTGTCCAAGCACTTGCTTTGGGCTACCATGGCTCTTCAGAAAAGAAAGGCTTTGCATCTTATCTTACTCCAGATACTCCAAAAGTGCAGGATCCCCAAAATAATAAGAGTCCCTGCCTTCAGAGCCCCTTGGACAGAGTGCCTTCCTCAGCACAAACAGTATGATCTACAAACTGATTCCTTCCTGCACCAAGAGTTGGTTGAAACTTGTGGGCTACTGTGGCATCTCAGCTGAGAAGCCTGTTGTGCTATTGACACCCAGGTGTCATAAGGGATGCTGAAGGTGAATCAGATCGCCTTGGCAACAACTGTTGTTTCTTCAATCCTCTTTCAACTCCTTGTTTGGCTTCTTAATTTTATTAACTTCAACATTATAGTAGTTCTCACTCAGTAGTTTATGTGAGCGTGTAGTTTGGGATTTGGGGCAGGACAAACCCAAGTGTCCTTTTTGTTTTTTCTTTTCTTTTTTTTTTTTAACTCATTTCCTGGACATACTGGTTTTTAGAAAGTTTTCTTATGGTAACATCTTGAATAACATTTTCTCTGTTTTGCAAGGGAGACTAATGATCTGGAGCTTAAGCAATCAAAAGTCTTAAGAACTCTTCCTTCTTTGTGTTGGGCAGAAGTGCCTAATACTTTATTTTATTTGGGCAGAGAATATGCAGCCAGCATCTGAACATCCCATAAATACTTGGGAGAGGAACACAATTAGGATATAGTGTAGAGCTGGGAGTTGGAGCTTTAAGTCTAAGTGATGTTTCCAACTGGGGCTGGAAACGTGCTTTAAATAATTGTATTCTGATCATTTAGGTCTCTCTTTATAGGGCATCTTTTATGACCAAGACTGTCCAGTACCAAAATGAGCTACATAAATTCCTAATCTGGGATACAGCTGGACAAGAACGAGTAAGTCACTCTTTAATTTACTATGTGTTTTTCTGAGGCCCAAACCAAATTAGAGCACCAACTAAACTGTCACCGTTCCTGTCATTTCACGTTACTCACTTCTCTTCTATGCGCCAGAGACACATTTATTTCCATTTGTGGAGGCCAGCCTTTTTCTTTTCAATTAGAGTCACAAAGTCCGCTGATGGAGAAAGTGATAATGGGCACTGAGGGCATTTTTATATTTTTTAGTGTCTTAAAGTAAATGCTGACTAACAGGCTGATAAAATCCCACTTGAGCATTGTGTGTAATTTGGGGCTCCATCCTCTAGTAGAGATGTAAAAGAATTAGTGGTAGAAAGGGAGAGTTAAGCACAACTCATTTATAGCTGCCTTTTAAAAAGCTAAAGAGGGAACTTTACAGCATATAAAGTTTGAGATTTAAGTGAAATGGATGAGCTAACACAGTGCCTTGCAGTAGGTACTTAATAAAATCCTGGTAATAAAATTGGCCACAGTAGTTATCTGCCTAAGGAAGAGCCTAAACCAAACTGGGGCCAGCCACAGCAGCACAGGGCCAGGTGGGATTTGGGGAAGCCCACCAAGTCAGAAGAGGGTGGGAATGGGGCAGGCACAGGTACTATCTATCTCCCCTCCCCTCCGGGCACTGACTTCAGTTTGTTGTCATGGTGCCTGTGTCTGCCCCATTATTCAGCAGACGTTTAATTTTGTTTTCAAACAGTACTATCAAACCTGCATCAGATGGATGCACAGTGCTATCTTAAGCTCTTAGAAGTACACCAGAAGTAATCAGGAAAAATAGTGTGTCATCACCGTCTTATCTAAGATACTGTGTATGGCATAAAATCTGACAAGAATCATCGCAAACAAATGGAGGAAAACAAAACAAGCCATTACCGTTGTCCTAGATGTAGACACTATACATTTGTACAGATTTAATGTTTTAAGTTCACTTTGTTTGGTTTCTTCTGTTTTTAATGCTGGATGTCTTGCTACCATCCAATTACTCATCTGAGATGTGTCTGCTTATGGTTTTCTTTTCCCCTCTCCTGTTATGCTGGTATTGTGCATCTAGAATGAGACATTTAAAACAGCTAGACCTTTGCTAACCATCACTCTTCTGTCCTTCAGAAGTGGTTCTTACCACAGAGTCTGCCCGCATTTATCTATACACACAGCCATGGTATTTGTCCTATCAGCCCCAAACTGGTGGGGCTCTTCCTACCAATAAAACACACTCCCTTCCGCTGGATCCTCAGGTTCAGCTACCCCTCACAAAGCCATCATCATAAAGAACCCTGCTATAGTACAGATCCCATTATGCTCTCTTCAGAGCCTGTCCTGGTATACACGATGATGTATAGCATCTCTTTTTTTCTGGAACATGAAAAAAGAAATAACCCAAGGGCACATGGCTCTCCCTTTCTGCTGGCATGATTGCAGGGGTCTTTGAAGTTTTGTAATTAGCCAGCTTGCCTGCCTTTTGTGTGCCTCCTTCTCATTAGATCTTCAACAGGAATAGCTGCTCTCAGATGTGAACCTGCCTCCACTACGCAGAGTACCTCATGCAGCCCAGAGCTGGAGAGGAGGTGTTCATGAGGAAGCGACCAAAAGAGGAGAACCCCCAGGGAGCACTGGCAAAAGCACATGTCCATGGTTGCCAGATTGCAGAGCTTAAGAAAAAGCTAAACATGGGACATATCATCAAAGTACTATCAGGACGTAGCCGTGAGCCTGGTCAAGGACTGACTGACTGTCCTGGGAAGGCCTTCTGGTCCCTGAATATACCAGCCACTGCCAGACTCTCTATCTCTTCCACCAACCTGGCCTCTAGCACTGAACTGCTTATAGTTTTCCAACATGCCATCCTGTTTATATCCTCTTACCCTTCTTCTTAGATTTTGTCTGGAAAACTTTCTTCGGCCTTCAGAACCCACTTCTGATGTCATTTGACTAAAGGAGGCTTTCCTAAGCACCCCTGGTGGTCTCGAATGAGTAACCACTTTGCCATATCCCATTTTTGCTCAAACCCAAATCTGGATGTTATCTTGGACTCCTCGCCAGCTCCCCACACTGCTCTAGGAGCATGTGCTGACAGTTCCCTTGTCTAAATAACTTTCTTCATTTCTACTCTCATCACCCTGCTCTTAGACACCTTCTACTCTGACTTGAGTATTCCATAGTCTTCTAACTGGTCTCCCTGCTTTCCTCCAGTCCAGACCTGACCCATGCCACTTCTCACAGGACCTAGAGTCCTTTAGAAATGAAATCGGACTCTCGTATTTTCCTGCTAATACCCTTCAGCAGCCGATTATTGCTCCTTTCCTCTGCCCACATGCCCTGCTCCTCCAATCTGCTTAGTGTCCTTCCAGCCCATCCTCCTCCTCTCCCACTGAATTCCAGCCTACTGCCCTTCGTTAGGTCCTTGAGCACCCGATGTCATCAGGCCTTCATGTACATTGGTCCTTCTTACTGGAATTCTCTCTCTCCTCTGCCAATAGGCTCCCTTTACGAGCTCTTGATCTCAGGTTAAATGTCATACCCTTAGAATTTTCCCTGAATCCACCCCTTCACCCCTTGCACCTAAGCACAGCTCCCATTCATTTCCCATTATTGCCAGTATTCATTTTCCTCAAGACATTTGTTAAAAGTTGTAGTTCAATGTCTGTCTGTCTGTCTAGCTTTTATTGACAGTCTCTCCCTGCAAACAGAGCTGAGAGCACAGTGTCTTGCTTGTCCTGTATTCCCAGCCTCCATCCAGGGCCTGATGTAGAGCTCATGTGCAGAGCCTGGTTGGACGGAGCAGCAGATGAACTCTTACATCCTGAGCAGGCTTCAGTTGCCCTCATCCATGCCATCAGTACCTGTTCCTTACTGTCATGTCTTCCATTAGACAGTGAGCTCCTTGGAAGCAGGACAGTCCTCATGTCTCTGCTCTCAGCTCCTAGCACATGGTGTTGGTGACAATAAACGTCAGCTGCTTGCTAACCCTCCTTAGGCACACACAGATAAGGACAGACCTTCTACTACTTTCACCATGTGAGTAGTGCATGCCTGGAATGATGCTTTTTCTGGTGTTTGCATGTGTATTGTTTGGTTCACTATAGTTTAAAGATTCTCAATGGAAACAAAAATGGTTATAAAATGAAAACTTTCTGATCAACTAACTAATTGTATAGCCTCCCCATTTGAGTCTAGCATCTATCCTGTTGCCACACATTTTGACAGTGTGTTGTCTTTCTGTTGGTCAGGTTAGGGATGATTACAAAGTGATTAAACTGGTGAACGTTATTTTGGAGAATTTTTCAAAATGTTGTATGAATCCTTGACCATTGGGATCTTGTTAAATGAAGAGAAAAATACCTGTCAGGTTGCTGGTATAGCACTTCAGATGACAGTGAGTTCAGAGGGACTTACAGACAATTCTTGGAGGCCACAAATATCTTGTAAAACTTACTATTTTTATAAGACTGTGTGATCAAATATGAAATGAAGGATATCATATTGTGCTAGCATATAGTTTTATCAGAACAGTCATAACCAAATTATCAGTTAACTGTGATTCAGTGTTCATCCAAAAAACTCAGCTCCTGACTGTTAAAATATGGCTACAGCTCAGTGGCAGAGCACCTGCTTAGCATGTGTGAGGCTCTGGGCTCATTTGTCAGCACCACATTTAAGCAAATAAGTAAAGGTCCATCAATAACTAATAAAAATATTTTTAAAAATAAGGCAAATATTTTTTACCAGGTAAAATGAGACTTATTTTCCTAAATTTAAACTTACTTCCTCAAGATGACCTCTGTGAGTCCTTTTTGTCCCTGTTATTTGCAAACTGAGTGAATTCATTTTGTCACATTTTCCCACCAATTATCCTTCACTAACAAAGACTCCTGTAGTAGTGTGGAGATAAACACAGCACATGAGCACCATGAGTGCATCCCATTATTACACCATCAGTGTAGAAAAACACTTCAAATGCTTTCCATCTGCATGTGATGATGTAGAAGAAAGCTGTTTAGCAGAATCTAGCATCATCCAGATCCTAAACATTTACATCCTTACTTGTTGTGGTTCTCCTGATGGCTTTTTCCACGGGTCAGAACACCAGGAAAGCACACAGTTATTATCACCATAGTCTTGTAAGGAATTGTTCTTATGTTAAAAGTCAGGAACTTAATGACTTAGGGTCATCTAGAACCCGAGTAAAAGACTATGGCCTATGGGCCAAATCCAACCTGTTGCCTGTTTTTGTAAGTAAACTTTTTATTGGAATGTAACCATGCTGGTTTCCATGGCTGTTTTCATTCTATGGTAATAGAGATTAGTGTTGTGACAAAACTCAAATGGTCCACAAAGCTGTAATATTCTTGGCCCTTGCCTTAAAAAAAGTTTGCTATCTCCTGATTTAGAGCCACATTTGGAGCACAGATGTGCTGATGTCTTTTGAGTTTCATTATGTGCTTCCATCTTTTTTCTTTACACCAAAATGATATGGAAAGAGTTTCAACATGACAGAAGAGTACCCTATAATAGACTAACCTTCCCAGATACAACAATTTATATACAAACTCTGGATAAAACTTTTAAAATGTATTGCAGAGCAACCAGATGCAGCCAGGGACTGAACACAAGAGCTATGATGGACATGGTCCACATTGTCACAGCTTTTCCTAGTTAAGACTCCTCAGACCATATGGCAACTAGCACTCAAGCAGAAAGCCTGTCTTTTTAGCTTATGACACCTGTGAGTAGTGTTGAGGACTGCAAGAACAGCTGGGAAAAGAGGATACAAATCCCAAAAAAATGATCCCAGCAAGGAGGGAAACCCCAAAGTCTGTTTATAAGTTTTCCTCAAGTCTTTGGTTGACCACCCAAGTTGTGAATATACAGAGGAGACATTACCAAACCCAGAAGAGACCAACAGCTAGAAGAGTGACTAGAACAGAGCAGAGACTGCCATTACAGCAGAGCTGCAGTCTGGAGTTTGAACCCAGTTCTGCCATGTTAGAGGGGAGGGGTAAACACCTCGGGCATCCCATTGAAACTTCCGAAGGGCAGTGCCTCAGCAGTGGAGAACAGGTCCTGCAACTAAGGGGGACCTTGATGGCCTTACACAAAGTTAAGGTGGCCTGTCTCACAGTGGCTAGCCGGTAATTTAACACTCTGCAAAGAAGAAAACAAAAACTAGTTTTCTTAAGTGTATCATCCATGCTGTCCAGTATACAGTCAGAATGATTATACATACAGAGAAGAAGGAGAAGAGGACACAGGGAGGAAAACAACTCCCCACCCATTATTAGGATTTGCAGATATAGAATTTAAAGCACACATTTTAAGTATGTTCAAAGATTTAAAGAAAAGTAGTCTTAACTACTTAACTGCAGAATAGAATCTCACTCTTAATGAAAAAGAATCAAATGGGAATGCTAAATCTGAAAGCTACATTTCATTTTTATTTAAGGTGAAGAATTCACTGGATAAGTGATAGAACAAATTAATCAGAGGAACAGAGTAGAAAAAGGTGAACAATACTTATTGAAACAAATTCAAATAGCCTAACATAGGTATAATCGAGACCCAGAAGAAGCAAAGAAAGAGAGAGGTTCGGGGGAAAAGAGACTCCAAAAAGAATGCCTAAAATATTCCCAGATCCAGTGAAACCCCATCTCACAAAACCAAGAAGTTCAGCAAACATGTAGTACAACAGAAAACCACATTTAGATACATACATCATGAATCAAACTGCTGAAACCAGAAATAGAATCTCAAAAGCAGCCACAGATGAAAGATACATTATATATGAGGGAACAGTTTGAATGATGGCTGTCTTCTTACGGAAACAGTGATGACCAGAAGTCGGTGGGACAGTATCTCTACCATGCCAAAAATACCTGTCAAATATGAAGTCAAAATAGGATGCTATTAGAAAAGCAAAAACAATTCAGCAGCAGTTCACAGAAAGTTTTTCAGGCTAAAGTGAAATGACTTTGGTAAATAACTGGTAAATAAGATCCACAGGAAGAAATAAGCAGCCTTGGGATATAGTAAATATGAGAATCTCTCATTGTTTCTTCTCAACTTTAAAAGAAAACTGGCCATTTAGTTTAAAAATTATGATATTGGATTGTGGAATTTATAGTGTAGATAGATTTTAAATATTTGACAACAGCGCAAAGAACGTGGGATAAAAAGCATTCGATGCTTGGATGGTTCTTACATTTTATATGAAGTGATAACATTTTAAACTCTTAAGTACACTAGAAAAAAATGTATATTATGGTTACAAGAACAGCCACTTAAAAAGTGATGTAAGATAATATCACTGCATCCAATCCAAAGAGAAGAGTAAAGGAAGGACAAAGGAATTTAGAAAGAAATGGAACACACATAAAAAAAAGCAGTGGACCGAGACCCAAGCACATCAGTAGGTGCATTGAACGTAAAGGACCATTGCACTTGGAAGGCAGAGGTGGGCAGATGTGCCGAAAGGCAGGACCGGACTGTGTGCTGGTTAAAGATTGTTCATAAATACAAAGAAAGGTTGAAAACAAGAGAATGGAAATGATATTCTATGCAAATCATAGACAGAAGACAGCTACTGTGCTCAAGTTCATAGTAGGAAGTAGGCTCAGAGACAAAGATTATGTCAAGGATAAACAGGGACATTAAATTTCACGTTTGCTATCCTAGTGGATAGCTTCTTTTTTATATATATATATTTATTTTTTTAGTTCTCGGACACAACATCTTTATTTTTTATTTTTATGTGGTGCTAAGGATCGAACCCAGCACCCCGCGCATGCCAGGCGAGCGCGCTACCGCTTGAGCCACATGCCCAGCCCCGTGGTGGATAGTTTCTATGGATGTGTACGTCCATCATTTATCAGTTGCACAGCTAAGGTCTTTGCTTTACTCATGTGAATTTTACCTTACAGTTTTGAACAAAGAAAAAGAAAGAACCTTGTAAAGGATGTTGCCAACATAAGCATATCAGAAATGAAAATTAATACCATAACCCTTTCTTCCACCTGTGTGCTATGTATGCTGTGGAAGTCAGTCCGACATTTAAAATTTTTTTTACCTAATGTAGTTTCTTCCCCTCCCCGTCATGTGTGGTCCTAGGAATTGAACCCAGGAACACTCTACCATGAGCTACACCACAGCCCTTTTTATTTTTCATTTTGAGTCAGGATCTCACTCAGTTGCCAAGACCGGCCTTGAACTTTGTGATCCTCCTGCCTCAGCCTCCCAAGGAGCTGGAATGACAGGTGTGGCCATTGCACACAGATAGAGTTCCTTTTTCTGCATTGTTTTCTTAACTTACAACTTTTATTTTTGTTTTCTTCTAAAACTTACCATTTTGTTGGAAGTAGGCTTTCACCCAGGCAGACCTTTTACTCAGAGATTAGTGAACATTTCTGTCTGTGGACATACAGATCTGGCATTTAGTTTGACATCCCCACGTTACAGTTCTTCATTTGCTCACCAGTTCTTGATTACCTCAGGTGCTAGGCCCTGAGATGAAATGGAATGCAAAACACTGATGCTATCTTCCCTCGTGGAGCTTATAGTCATATTTTTCTCTTTCTTTTGTAAAACTCAAAGTAACATGAAAGTTTAAAAGCAAAAAGATTATGGGCTGGGTTTGTGGCTCATCGGCAGAGGGCTCGCCTAGCACATGCAAGGCGCTGGGTTCCATCCTCAGCACCACATGAAAATAAATAAATAAAATAAAGGTGTTGTGTCCAACTACAACTAAGGGGAAAAATTTTTTTTTTAAAAAGCCAAAAAATTAATCTAACTGATAGGAAGTTAGAGTCCAGACTGTCACTGTGGCCCAAGTAACTGAGGCAGGAGGATCACACATTGGAGGCCAGCCTCAGCAACTTAGCAAGACTCTGTCTCAAAAAATAAAAAAGGGGTAAGGATATAGCTCAGTGGTTGAGCACCCTTGGTTCAAAACCCAGGGTCACAAGAAAAGAAGTTGCAATGTGCACAGTTCTGTGTGTATGCTGTGTATGCACCAGTGCTCCCCCATGAAGGCATTCCTGTCATATTTGGTATAAGCTGCCAGAAACAGCAGGATACAGTACACAACATGACATCATACAGTTCAGCCTTCAAAGTTGAAGTATGAAGGTAAAAGTCTAGTCTGTTAACTTTGGCCTCACATTCTGTGGATGATGCTTTCACGAGGACATTTGCTCAGGAACCAGATTTTGACTGGGGAAAGTGTTTCATGTTTCCTGTTTGGCATTCATCAAAAAAAGGGCTCACTAAACCACCATAGCTATGGAAGTGGTTACTCCTCCTCATTTCTTCTCATCCTTATTGTGCTCAGTGGAGGGGAGGTGGAAATGAAATGAGACATGTACCCTGCATTTGGGAATCGCCACATGGATTAAGATATCAAGAAAGCATGTTGCAGACTCATTCGAGTAGTGAATTTAAATGTGTAACCTTGTCTAGGACAATCAGCATCTGGATTACAGGGTGATCTCTGAGACACTCCAATGCAGCACTTCTCTGGAGAACTGTTCACAGCATTATTTTTATCTCCCTGATAGTTTGGAAAGCCAAAGTTTAAAGGACTATTGAACAAATGAATTTGGGAATTACAACATTGAGTTCAATTAAAAAGCCTTTTTAGCTGAATCAATTGTTTATAGCACCATATTTAATTCCTATAAAACTGTATTCTAAACTATCTTCTAAGAGACATTTCAGTGATAACATTAAAAGTTTTCGCCTTTGGTAATTACTGGTTCATTTGCTTTAAAACATGATGTCATCTTTGGCTTCAGAGAAAGATTACCTTTTGTACAGGGATAATGGACTTTGAAGTCTAATTTTAAAAAAATATATATTTAACCAGTTTTTCCAATGTTGTTGTTTATTTCCCTCTGCAGTTTCGTGCCTTAGCACCAATGTACTATCGAGGCTCAGCTGCAGCTATAATCGTTTACGATATCACAAAAGAAGTAAGACCATATTCAGTTTTTCTTAGAATATTTTGGAGATTCTTAGTTGCTTAGATCTCCAGTTTCTTCCTTTGTATTACAGGAGACATTTTCAACATTGAAGAACTGGGTAAAAGAGCTTCGACAGCATGGCCCACCTAATATTGTAGTTGCCATTGCAGGAAATAAGTGTGATCTTATCGATGTCAGGTAAGTTATTAGACAAAGAGATTGCACTGCTGATTATGTGTTCCTGTTCTTAATGAGCAATATCCAGTGTAAAAATCTTGGTGTGTGTGTTTTTTTGTTTTTTTTAAATCTTTGACAGTGAAAAATTTCTTTTTGTTATATGGTCTGAGTCCTGAAATTTCAAACTAAAATTATAATTTCAGGCATTTGGAGCAAATCATATTATGTCTATAGACAGGTGTGTAATTTACTTGAACATTGGTCACATCACAGTTGGCATTATCTGAGATCAGTGCAGCCCCCAGGCTCTTGTGTTACAGAACTGAATAAGGAAAGCACATTTATTAGAATTTTCTCTCTACTGTTTCCATAATTCCCAAGGCAGGGGTTTTTTATTTTTATTTTGGGGGTGGGAGTAGAAAACCTTGCCCTAATCATTCCATTAGCTATGTTGTTAGTGGTGCTGGGTTTTGTTTGTTTAAACACAGAAGTGGTATAATTGGGAAGACTGAGTGTTGGGGTTCACAGAGCCATTCAGAACACCCTCTGTCATCAGTAATCTGGTTAATTACTGGGTAGGTGGGGGTAACATAAGCTCTTAATGGGTAGAAGTTCTGATTTGCAATTGTTGCCTTACAGAGAAGTCATGGAGAGAGATGCTAAGGACTACGCTGACTCCATTCATGCGATTTTTGTAGAGACCAGCGCAAAAAATGCGATAAACATAAATGAGCTCTTTATAGAAATTAGTGAGTATCTCTGTGCTTATGGGTTTACTCTGTGCAGAACAACTTCAGAAAGAATTATCTTCCTGGTTAGAATTCCCATCGTATTTTGAGTAGTCTAGTCTCTGGTGCTGTCGTCAGTGAAATGAGATTTGAGAGTACAAGAGGAACGGCCAGCTTTTCTCTCAAGGTGTGATTGCTGGAGAGCTGCTGCCTAATGACTGTGGCTCTTCTGGAAATAATGTTGCTACTGAATAAGTAATGCACAGGGCATGAGGTCACAGAAGCTATAGTCTCCCTCTTTCTCTATTTAAATGTATTTCAATTAGTCATCCAAGGTCATCAAAAATGAACAAAATAAATAAAAGGAAATAAAATGCAGATATAATTACCCTGTAAGAAATCCTCAAAAATTAGTAGTAAGCAGGGGAGAGGTATGGAGATCGTTTTCCTACCCTCCCCTTCCCCTTCCAGAGTGTTGCATGATGACACTAGATGGGAGAGAGGCTGCTGCATGCCTTTGGGATCCCCTACAGATTGTATCTATGTTTATTCATTTCATTCAAATTCATCAAAATATTTATTGGAAACTGTTCCAGGCTCTGGGGAGAGAGCCTGAAGAAGATAGACACAGCCCTTGCTCTCTCAGAGCGCACGTTCTGCCGAGGGAGACAGAAAGTGAACACCAGATAAATAGGATCATTTCAGATCATAATAAGAGACATGAAGAAAATAATTTACGGGGGGAGGTGGCAAGGGGGTGGGAAAGATGGTGGAATGAGACGGGCATCATTACCCTAGGTACATATGTGATTGCACAAATGATGTGACTCTATTTCATGTACAACCAGAGAATTGAAAAATTCTGCTCCATTTATGTACAATGCATCGAAGAGCTTTCTATTGTCATGTATAACTGATTAGAACTAATTTTTGAAAAAAGAAAAAAGAAAATGATTTAGGATGAAGTGAAAAAGTACCTGCAGATGATCAGGGAAGGCCTCTCTGAGAAGGTGATACCAGCTGAGGTCAAGCAGAGCAGACCCTCTCGAGATTCGGGAGTTCACATTGACATGGCAGGCGCCAGGGAGGTGCAGGAGTCAGCCCTGCTAGGTCAATGCATTAAGGCCCACCCTCTGGTTAAGATCTGAGACAGCTAGAACTGGAAAGGTTCTTAGCTTCTGTGAAGAAGGGTTGTGAACTCCAGTGCCCACCAAGGCCAAGTGGAGCAGTCTCCCGGGAAGCCCTGGAGTTTGGGCCCAGCTCCAGCAACTGGAGTTAAGCTGGAATATGAGCTTCTTGGTGCCCAGTTGCGGAGGTGGTTTTCAAGGTTTTTTTATGGTTTACTTTTGTTTTGCTTTTATGTTGCTATCTATAGTTTGCTGAGAGATCTGGATTTTTATGTAATGTGTCCCATTGTTTAGATCTGGCCGTTTACACTAAGCACAGTGTCATGCGCCTATAATCCCAGCAATTTGGGAGGCTGAAGCAGAAGGATGGCAAGTTTAAGGCCAGCCTGAATAACCTGGCAAGATCCTGTCTCAAAATTTTAAAAGGGCTGGAATGTAGTTCAGTGGGAAAATGCCCCTGGGATCAACCCCCAGTATAGCCAAAAAAAAGAAGACGAGGGTTGTGAACTATATCAACAGTGTGATTGGGAGTGTGGTTCAGGCAGAGCAATTGCTTGCCATGACTGAGGTCTTGGGTTCTATCATCAGCGTCCCAAAAAAAAACGATTCACAAAGATTAGAAAAATTGTCATAGGTAGAAATCAGGTTTATTTTTCACTGGGTGCTGCTGTCACATTGTATGAGCACAGTGCCTGGCATAACTGTGTGTTGAAGATTCATATGGAAAAGTTCACCTACAGAAGCACAAAGGCCAATGTGTTATCCCCAGTGGAGTAGAGCCTGTGGGTGCACTCAGGGTCAGCCGTGGCTCTCCTGCTTCCAGGATGACAACCATCCTGTTAATTCTTTTACATGGTTTGGTTTTACATATGTTTGTGCTATTTATATTTTTTAAAGCATACTCTGTTTACTCTTTGTGTCTGGTTTCTCTTATTATATATTACATTTTTAGATCATCCCTATTATCTCATGGAGCTGTAGGAGATGCATTCTCGGGGCGTGTGTGTGTCAGGTTCCAGATTCAGAGGTGGGAACTGGGGAAGGGGGATATCCATGGTATAATCATCCATTCTGCTGTAGATGGACATTTGGACAGTTGTTTCCAATTTAAAGCTACTACAGTACTGTTCTGAACATTCTGGTCATGTCCTTTGGTGAACATCTGTACACATTTCGTTAGATATCTTTATCCCCAAAAGAAGAATAGCTGGGTCGTTGGATTTACCTGTATTCATATGATTTCACTGCCAATATTCACAATGGTGGTTATGCCAGTGGATACTCATCAGTGTATGTGTGAGGTTCTACTCCTCTATCTCTGCTGGGCAGGTAGTGGACTACATTTCCCCTGGGTTGATGAAACCAAGCGCTGTCCAGACACTTATGTACATTTCTGTGCTCTCTGAGTGGTCTGTCTTGGGAAGTGCCTGCCAGGCAACTGCCTTCTTAATGTCTATGCTGCTTTATTTTGTATGTTCGTCCCTTGTTGATTATGTGTATTAGAAATATCTTCTCCTCTGTGGCCTGACTTTAATTTTTGAATCAGTCTTCAATCAACTGAAGTTTTTCATCTGAATCTAATCCAATTTGTCCTTTTTTTTTTTTCATGGTCAGCATATGATTTTTAGTTCCTGTTTAAGAAACCATTGCCTATTCCCAGATGATAAAGATGTTTTCTTCTAGGAATACTCATTCTAAAAAGACTTTTTGTCACATTTAAGAGCTGCTTCTGTGATACCTGCATTTGAGTTTCCATTTGTTGAGAAAAACATAATAACAAGAAGCTTCAGTAAAGCTTTTAAATAAATTGGTAACTTATAAATATTACAGCAGTATCTGTAGATATTTGAGAAGTTGCAGGAGACTTTTTAGTTGATGTGGGGACCATGCCGTGTGCTGCCCACACATGTTATACACTTCCCAGAATGGTGAAGTCTTGAAGCTTGATTGTCAAGGACCTGAGAGTTGCTGCCAGTTCTCTCTTAGCCTTGCTAATATCAGAAGCTGTGCCTGTCCATTCATTCCATGTTTACAAATACCTCCACACCAGGTAGTGTGCCACAAAGATTCCAGGAATACTACCCATATGGAGAAACAGGATTTCTCTTCTCTAGAAGAACGTAGGGTATAGTTAGAGGGAGTCAGTCATGTAAACAAATATGTCCTGGTGTGCTTCTAGTGACCTGATGGAATTCGGTGTCTGAGATGGAGAGAGGTAGGAAGTAGGTGGGCATCAGGAAAGCCATTTTAGAGAAAGTAGCCCTTGATTATCAGCCAGGTGGATGGACGGGTGATTTAAGATTTGTCTCAAATTTGACATCATGCTTCACAGAGCAGTAAAGTGAAACCTGTTCATTCTTACACATTGTTGGTAGGAGAATAAAATGGCACAGCCTCTTTAGAGAGCAATCTGGCAGCATCTGTGAAAATTTAAATCACAAATCCTTCTTGCATTTGTGCTAAACAGACACTGGGAAGACATTGTGTATCAGACAAATGCCAAGTATAGAATAGCATGACCTAGCTCCTCCAATCCTGTTTGTTTATCCAACACACACAAAACACACACACACAACACAACACACACACACACACACATCACTATCATAACATCAAAATATGGGAATAAACTAAATATCCATCAGTGGAAGAACAGTTAAATATATGATACATACAGGTGATGTAAAGCTAATAAAAGAAGCAGCCGTCTCCATTGTGCTAAGGAAGAGCAGTCCCCAGGATATATTGAGTGAAAGCATCAAGGAGGAGGTCAGTTCCTACTACTTGCTCTCCTTCATGCTTCAGAAAGCAGAGCGGGGCAGGAACCAGATACTCCGTCCCCAGAAGGCTGCACCAGCAGTAGGTCACAGTGGTGGCTCTGCCATGACACCAAAGGACAGGCATGTTCTGATCGAATTTTTTTTTAACATGTAGTTTATTATCTACTCAATTTTTTTTAATGTGTAATTTTTTAATTAAAAATTTTACTAATGGTCTCAGGATGTAGCTCAGTATAGAGTGTTTGCCAAGTATGCATAAGGCCCTGGGTTCAATCCCCAGAAGTACAAAAAAAAAAAATTTCTTGTTTCTTTACTAAGTACTGTGTAATATCCTTGTTTGGATCCTGGGACTGAAACTGGACATTAGTGGAAAAACTGGTGATACCTGAAAAAAGTCTAATGTTGATTTATTCACTTCAACAAATGTCCCAAGACAATATAAGACCCCAGTCTATATTGAAGGGAACAAGATGAGATGTACAGCAACTCTGTGCATTAGTCATCTTTGCAACTTTTCTGTAAATTATTCCCAAGGAAAATGTTTATTAATATTTTTTTGCTTTTTTTTTAACTCAAATTGCATCTGCAAAATTGTGTCTGAGAAGGAACCGATTTGGAAAGTTGTAGCTGATTCCCTCTCCTCCCATTTTGGTGTAGGTCGAAGAATTCCATCCACTGACGCCAACCCGCCATCTGGCGGTAAGGGCTTCAAGCTCCGCAGACAGCCGTCAGAGCCAAAGCGAAGCTGCTGCTGATGAGCCTCAGCCTCAGACTCGATGGTGAAGCAGGTGGTCCTGACAGTTAGCAGGAGGGCTGGGGGCCTGCTACCAGTGTCCACTTAGCCGCTCGAGTCTTCTTCATGCAAAAAGGACTCACAGAAATTGGCCGGTTCTGTTCTCCCCTTGAAGACTGCAGCAATGGTATTTCAGTCTGTGGACGTCCAGTATGTCAAGGATCTGTGGTGTCCAAAGGGACCGCATAATTGACTTTGACCTTGCTGACGGGAGCACATCATTGTATGGATGGTGGAATTAAATTGCTGAGTAGTTTTGTAATCAGGATTTTATGTAACATTTGTAAAAAGGGAAAATTAGCACTTTCGTGGTTCTTGTGGGGGGGGAGGCAAGATTACCATTTCCTTGGTTTCCCATTACCACTGTTGGAGTTGTATCATTTAAATGTGGTAGGATATTGCAGGTAGAGGGACGGCAGTTGGAAGCTGAAATGGTTCTGTCTAGGACAGATGGAGATACTCCATCTCTGCTGTCTCTGAAGCACTTTCTGTGAAGCATGTTAGCCCCAGATACATACAGAAAGCCAACACCATGGCAGTGGTTGCTGGCCCACCTTGGGTTTGCTTTTGACCCTGTCGCGCATGTATCACTAAACACATCACTGGCGCCACTGTGGTGGTGGTAGAGAAGCACCTGAAATAAATGAACTGCATATGTCCTAAATAGGTTAGCAGCAGTTTAAAAAACAAGGAAGAGGAGAAAGTAATGTAAATGCTGTCAATTTTTTTATTTAATCCAAGTATTTTGGTGGGGAAAACAAGTATCTGTTGCTTAGCATATGTAAAGTTGTAGTCTGTATTTATGAGACCATTGCTTAAAGACTATAAATTATGTAAATACATTAATAAATTCTAAGTTTCATGCAGCACTCCATTTAATCTCACACCCAGTCTTGTGATGCCCCCCCACTTTTCAGCCTGTCCACTGGAGACTGAGGCACATTTATGTTGTGCAGAGGCATAGATGTTTAGCTTACAGTCTTTCCAGGTTTCTGTGCTTTCCCTTCCGCCCACCCCTCTTCCCTCTACATCCCATCTGGAAATGATAATAAAGACATATGCCACTTCGATGAGCCTGACTAGTTCTTGCTGGCCTGTGGTAAAAGAGTGTGCTCTGAGCTCAAGTCATTTACCTGGTCTTGGTAATAAGTTTCTCTCGGCTTTCACAGTGACCCCAGACCAACTGGTTTAAGAGCACTTTTCTTGTTAACAATCTAGCTTATCTTTTCGTTTCCTTTATTTTCCCCTGCCTCTGTTAGTGGTTAACACTCTTTTCCCTCAGGGAGCCTAATGAGGTTTTTAATATGATCTAAAAATAAAGCACTGAAGTGCAGTTGGTGGAAATGTGCTCCTGGTCTAATTGGGCACCCTCCAACCTGAGTATTGTGCGAGAAGGAAATTTACAGGATTAAATAGGAAATGAAACAGCTTGAATTTCAAACTAAATTGTGTTTTCAGAGCTAGCCTTAAACTGAACAGTCAAAACTTTTGAAAATAATTGTTATTTCTTTGTGCCCCCCACTTGATATGGATAGGTTTTAATGGGAAAATTATAACTCGGATTCAGTAAAAAATGACTCCCTTTTCCCTCTTGTATGTCTTAAGCATTTGAAATTGCTTTATTCTTCTTGAAATCATATAGAAAGAATGCAGTTGGTAAAAATTCCAACGCTGTTTTGTGTGAAATACACATGGACTCTTATCTCTCTAGCATTGCCTCCAACTCAGCACTAAATTAGCAAACTTGATATGAGAAGCCACATGACTTCTAAGGCTGGGCCCTTGCGGCTGAAGGTGGCTTGATGTTACTTCATATATATCCAGGAAGTCCAGCCACTGCCTTGGCCTGTCCCCAGCCTTCCCACTACCAGGCCTCTATCTATCTGTACGACAACAAATAAAAACAAAGGTTGCCTGGCTGATTGCAGAAAAGGCAATGCGTGTGAGGCCTTTTTTTTGTCTTATTTCACATAAAGATGATGCAAATCCACCACCTTCACATTTTTTCCACCAAACCTGCCAGTAGATGCTGGTGAGCACATGGTGTGTTGGTGCACGGGTGAGGTCCTTTGAACCTCTTCTGAGTGCCTCTGATCTCGCTGTGATGTTCTCCATCTAGCCCAACTCGAGGCCATCTCTCCTGCCCTTTGCAGCTCTCTGCTTCCGTGAGTTTCTAGGGAATGATTCTGCCTGGTCACAGCCACATCTCACTAACGGACAAGCAGTGTGGGGCGTACGCTCAGGCATTTCTGGGGCCTCTTCTCCCTCATTTTCATCAGTCTCTCCAAAAAATTGACAGGGTGCTCTTTTGCTTGTAGTACCTTTGTAATGCCTAACAGCAACAACAGGTTTCTATCACAGATCCATGACCCATGCTCAGTGAAAGTGGAGAAAAGGTCTTCATTTTATATTGTTTGCTTCTAAAATGCAAATGTAAATATTAGAGTCAGGAGCAGTGCTTTACTTTGAACACATTTCAGATTAACCAGACTAAGCAGTGATCCACCACATTCCATATTTCTTTATTTCTTATGAGAAAAATCTCATAAGATTTCAAAGGAATTGAGACATAGCCCATCTGTAAAAAACTATTTGGTTCCCTTATGACGCAGGGCCATTTTTAAAAACTTTGAGACTGAATAGAAGAGAGAAATCATTAATTAGCTGCAAGTGTGTATCGATTCCTTTCAGAGAAGTTGAAATAAGATCTTTGCAGGTGTCCAATCCTAGAAACCACTGGTCTCCAGATCTCTCCTTTTACATAAGTGTTTTTCTGATTCTGTGATAACTAATTAACTATCATGTGGTGATTAAAAGAACATAAAGTAAGAGTATGATTAAGTAAGTGTCCTTCATTTCCAACTCTCTATAAGAAGTGATTGGGGAGAAGTATCTACTACAAGCCTTTCTGGTTCCAAATGAAACCTCTATCACCTGCTTGTCAGCCACAGTCAGGACAGGCCCTGCTCAGAGCAGCTGAGAGATTTGTTTCTTTTAGATTAACACATGTCCTTGTTCCCTATTTCTGATGTTTGAAGTGCCTGCTCTCATGTTCCTCTTTCCTGGGTGCCCACCCATGTCTGAAAGGATGAAGGCATATCAGAGGCTTGATCTCCCGGGCTAGGATCCTTCTTGGGGTTGTCAGTTCTCTTTACTTTTAAATATACAAAGAGAAAGAAAACTGCATTTAATTCGGAACTTCTCTTTAAGTATTCTATTTCTTGTCTCAAGAAGGAAATAGGCTGAGGAGAATTTCTAAAACCCTGGGAGATAGAGCAATGAAAATGGCCTTTGGACAGTGATCACATGGCTTTCCCGGCATTGTCAAACTGGAGTTTTCATGGCCTTGTGTTTCAGTAGGCAAGTTAGATTCAGATTATGCCATACTCTTTGGTATGTGGGTCTCCAAATTTGTACGTGTGTTCAAATTTGTGCTAAAAGTGAATTGCAAAAGAGGTCGTATAAATTCTATTTGGCACTTTTTCATTCATTCTTTCAGAACACACTGAAAATGTGATGCATGGGCTCTTAGAGTCTCATGCACACAATGTGTTGCATGTAACAGATGAGCCCACTAAACATACAGATGTCTTTGCAGGAGCCTGTGGAAGTGATGAGAGAGTCCTTCCTTCCTTCCTTCCAGAATAAAGTTGTTGGGAACCCATTAGTGCTCATCATGCCAGGTGCCTGCTTTAGAATGTTTGGAGGAGAGTGACAGACACAGCTCACTAACTCTGGCTGGCCCTCCTTGCTAAACCCGGAAAGTTGCATGGCAGTGACAAGCTATATGGGAAAATCTTCAGTATTTAAATTTGTTTTAAAGGGATGAACAACACAATTTTTGTTTATTGTTTGATTTCAAAGGAACTGCACCTCTTAATAGTTTTTAAAGGAAGAAATGGAATGTACCTTTGGGATCACACTGTTAAATATACTTGACATTAGCTTGGTTCATCAGAAAATTTTAAAACATTTTAAGGTTATCTTTAGGATATCCTGTGGTACTGTGATTTACAGAAAGGAAAAAAAGAAGTCCAAGCAACAAATGATCTAGGAGATAAGCAGTATACCCTGTAGTTTTAGAAAAGGGTGGTGGGGGTGAAATTTAGCCTGGGGCTTTAAGAAATGACCTCTGCAAATTTCTTTTGACAGCAGAGTTGCTTGTCTTGACTTCCAGTAATAGAAAACCAGGCAATTTGATTATCTGATTTGCAAGAAATGTTAATGGAATTCTGGGGCATTTGTCCTGTTTCATGTGCAAATGAAAGTCTAAAAATGTATTAGAAGAGTCCATTTTTCAGGAGCCTCCACCTAAGAGAATGATAAGTGATAGACCTGTTGTGATGAAGTCTCCTTTGACATCACCCGGAAGGTGAATAAATGGAACCAAGAAGCAGCACATTTCTCAGCTCATCCTTCAAGATTCTCTTAGCTTATAGGAAAATGATTTACTTTCCAAATCTAGAAGGACTTTCAGTAGCATAGATCAAGTTTAATTTGATGGTCTGTACCATCAGAAATAACTAATATCTGTGTTCTTTCCTTCCAGAGCATAATCAATTATAGCTATGCTAGAATATTTTTGGCTTCAAAACAAAAGGATTCAGAAGTTTAATTTTAAAAAGTCTCATGCCTTCCATCAATTCCTTTTGTTATGCAGAACATTTGAGATAGTAAGATTAGGCTATATCTACAGTAGGTGGTGAAGTCAACCATGATGTCTAACAGATTTTTTAAAAATTGTTTAATTCATTTTTTTGCAAGTTAATTTTTATATCTTTCTGTTGCCTCATCAAAATGCTTCATTATCCCAACAAACAAAATTGTGGTAGCTTTCAGGTGTTCAAGTACCAATTCTGACTGCCAATTGTAATGATTTTTTGAAGGAGTCTTTGTTTTTGTTTTTGTTTTTTTTTTTGGGGGGGGGGTTGTTTGTTTTTTCTTGATGGGCCTGGGGATTGAACCCAGGATGTTTTCCCACTGAGCTGCATCCCTAGCCCTTTTTTTATTTTGAGACAGAATCTCACTAAGTTGCCTAGGCTGGTCTTGAACTTGGGGTTCTCCTTCCTTAGCCTTCTGAGTCACTGGAATTTACAGGCATGCACCACTGCACCTAATAGCCCCTAAGAATTTTTGAAGCAGCTTTTGAATTTATTTACTTCCTTTGTATATGAAGTTATTAGGTAGTTCATGAAGCTTATTCTTAACGTGGACCATGCATGTGTCAGAGAGAGAAGTCAACTCAGTGAGGGAGAGTCTTATGCAGCCGGCTAGTGTTGGTGGCTCCATTTTTAAACCATGTGTTGTTCTGTATAGACAGAGCTTTATTGCCCTGGGAAAGGAAAAAAAAAAATTCCCTACTCTCATCTGTCTCATCCATTGTTTTGCTTTATTAGACGCTCACATAATCACCATTTGCCACTCTGACCTTAAGAGTTTGTCTTTCCTTCTCTGTGATCAAAGCAGACTTCTTGCCTTAGTTCCCTTCTCACTTTTTGGTGACCTGTCCCTTGGAGACCCTGCATTGCTCACCTCCCCAGCACATGACGTGCCTTCTCCTGCAGCCGGTCACAGTTGCAGCACCAGGCTGCACCCACTCCATCCAGCTGGGCGAGTCATGTCTATGCAGTCAGATGCCAGAGCTGACTTTAGGTAAGGACCTCCAGGATTTCCAGAAGGGGAGTGGGCAGCCCTAGCTTACAGTGGGAACTCAGCTGATTGGCAGAATGGTTTTTTGTCACTGGTGATCGCCTAAGTGTCAGAATTTCACAGAGCTTGTAATAGAGCATTTGTTAAAGTGTATAAAAGTGCAAGTCAAAGGTCTAGAAGAGAAACAGCTAGAGAGATGAGCCTAGATGTTAAAAAAAAAAAAAAAAAAAAAACAAGCCATTATACCAGCAACTCATTTCTCCTAAAAATGTCATACTTTCTTAAGACCTGATGCAAGGAATAAAATATTTGTGCCTTTTACAATAATAGCATCTGCTGTGGGGAAAAAATCAAATGCTTATAGTCTGGGCCTTTTTGTAGCACTGTAGAAGCCAGATTGGGAGCCGTGGCTTCACACTGCATCTTGCACTGCCTGGGTACCTGTACTGGAATGTAAGGAGGATAATTTGCCAAGCTCATGCGGATGTTTGAAGATGTTATTTTTACAATCTTAACCTTGGGCTGGACCTGAGTCTCTGAGACCATATGATGTCTGTACTGTTTGTAGAAGCTGATGAAAGAAAACTAGAATTTTTGCCTTTTGTTGTAAGGTCTTTCTTTTTATACTTATGCTGGTAGTGGACAGTTTGAAAATGCAGGTCAATTTGGCCTACTTTTAACTGTGCTGTTTTGGTCTGAGTACTCTATAATGCACTTGTGTAGAGTATGACATGCTAATCACTACGGAGTCTGTTGTAAGAAGGGTGTGAACATTTTGTTAATAAAATGCTGTGTTTACAGATGTACGTATCTGCCTTCCGATGGTTTCTCTTCACAGTCCTACATAACATGCATTTTTTTTTTGAGAGAGAGAGAGAGAGAATTTTTATTTATTTTTTTAGTTTTTGGTGGACACAACATCTTTGTTTGTATGTGGTGCTGAGGATCGAACCCGGGCCGCACGCATGCCAGGTGAGCGCGCTACCGCTTGAGCCACATCCCCATTCTTAACTAAGTGTTGTGACGTTGTTTCAGAGGACTTGGGAACTGCTGCCTCAGAACAATGAAGCCTCGATGGCATCTGGTGAGCAGTGGTGCATCTAGATCGGGGGCCTAGGCTCCCCGGCCTCCTGCGTCCCCACCTCCCCAGTTCATCAGTAGCTGAGCTGGAGAGCATCTCTGCTGGCCTACAGAGCCCCCTGGGCATTTCACAGGAACACCTGTGCCCACGGGAAGGCCCACAGGAGGGCTCTGGATTCCTGAAGGAAAGGCCTTCGGGCATCTCCACGTTTGGTGGATTTCATTTACAAATGCCAGCATTTCCAGAGTCAGCATTAGCTCTGGACTCACTCAGTGCTCCCATGGAAGTACAGCTTCACACATTCCATTCCCATTTTCTCTCTGCTGTCCCTCTGTGCTGCAGTTGTGCTTAGAGGGAACCACAGAGAGCAGAGAGGGTTTGAGGCTCAGCTTGGCCCCTCTCCAGGCTATGTGGCTCTGAACAAGGCCCTAAACCTGAGTGGTGTTTCTTTCATCTTCATGAAGGGAGGATAATCAGAGCTTACCACACAGGCTCTTTGGGTGGGATACCCCTCTGACTGGCATTTAACCCAGCACTACCAAAGAGTAAGCACTCGCATACATTTTTACAAGCCATCTCCCTGATAATCCCTTCTGATCAGATAACTTTGATGTTGGTGAGGTAATTTGCAGGTTTGTTTTTCACATTTTAAGATAGGTACAAAAGTGCCATAAATCTTATATACAGTTTGGTGTCATGAAGGACACTCAAAAGGAGCAAGATATCATCCATATGATGAAGCCCTGGCTCAGGCCCTCTTTGGTTGCCGTCCTGCTCTTAATGTCACCCACTGGCTTGCTGTCGTGCTTCAGGCCATATGTACACGTGGAATATGCTCCTGGTTTGGCTTCTTTCATCCCACGTGCTGGATAGTGGTTGCCTTCACTCTCTCAGATGGGTGTCCTGTGGCTTGAACAAGCCACCATTTACACATCCCTCTTTGTGCACAGGCACTGGCTTGGCTCCAGATCTCTGCTGACAGGGACCTACTGCAGTGAGCACCACACGTGCCTCTGGTGCATGTGTACACATCTCTTTCATGCGTACCTGACAACACATATATTGTCACCTGCTCTTTTTTGCCTTAGTAGAGAGTTTTCTGAAGGGGTTTATCAACATTCCTCCCAAAAGAAGGGTACAAGATTCCCATGGCTCAGAATCCTAGGCAGCACTTGATGTGTTCCCTGCTCAAAAGGCTGGACATCTACACTTCCTGCTAACAGAAGTTACCTCTAAGGGAAGAGACTTGGGTGACAGAACTGTCCCCTTTGTTTCACCTTTTGCTTTTATTTATACATAAATACTTTAAATTTCTTCATACTATGAGTATGTGTGTGTGTTTCTTCTTATTTCAAAGGAAATCAGAAACTCCTGAACCCTAATCCTATCTTCAGAGCTTTAGTGAAAATTACCTCAGTGGATACTTTGAAATGGTATTTGTCTTATGTTTGTCCTTTTTAAACACACACACGCGCGCGCACACTTCATCTTGATCAATAAAAAGCTTACAGCCAGACTTGGAGTCAGTGTATAAAACTTTACAGCACACATTTATTTCCTTCTGGTTCTTGAGATCTTTTCAAGCTGTCCTAAATCCTCTTGGAAGAAAGTGGGGGAAGTATATGTTAAGGGGGGACTATAAATAATGGACCCAGATTCCTAAAGAACCTCAAGGTTTATTGTGGGTCTTTTTTCACTAGAGTTTAAGAAACAGATTTCCATTGAGACAGTAACTTGAGCATTGCAGAGCCTTTTAAGTTTTTCATTTATTTGTCTTCTAGTAATACCAGCCAAAACATGATTCTCCACTGAAAACAGTGGTGTTGGTTGGGAAGGCAAGTGTCATCAGCATCTGGAATTTAGTCACCAGCATGTCAAGTTGTCACTTTTCCTTGTAGCACTGGGGAAGCCTATAAAACAGGAAGAAGGGAAAAATAAAAAAAGCTTTATAGGTGACACCTGATCAAAATGAATCACTTTATCAATCACAATTTTAATCAGACCTCTAGTCACTCAGGTTTTTTATTTTCATTACAACTTTTCAGCATCTCCCAGAAAACAGCAAAAGCACCAGACATCATCTTTCAAGAGCTGTGTGGGAAGCTGCTATGGGCTCAGGCACCACTGTTAGTGGGGTGGAAAATAACAAGGGGGTTCACATTTCCCTTTATTAGTATTCAGTGTAGAATGGAGATTCAGGCCTCTGTTAATAAAATATATGTAAAATAAGGTGGGAAAGCTACCAGAGTTCCATTCCATTAGAAAAGGGCATTTTTAAGAAGAAAATTGTGTAGTTGTGAATGGTAATTTGAGGTTAATGCACAATGTTAGGGCACTGAGTCTGCACCAGTGGTATACTATCATCAACATTAAAATTGCATCAGCTGCGCAAATGATGGGGTCAGGTCATGCCTTGTTTGCATATAAATGAGGACACATCATAGTGTAGAAATAAAAGCAGCAGACACCACAGCAGAGTGATGTGGATGCTGTGGCTGTGCTTTGCCAATAGGGTGGGCTGCTGCCTGCATCAGCCTTCAGCATCCAGACTATCAAATCATAAAATAACCCACCCAGAATGTTCTGCTTATAATTATTTCTATATGTCCTACATCCAGTATGATAACCCTGTTAGAAAATTAGGATCCCTGTGTGTGGATTTTCTTTCCTGCTCTAACATTCCTTCTGAATGGAGTAGGAGATAGAAGAGTTGGTGGCCAGGAGGCAATTTTTTTTAAGTGGCAATGACCTTGGGGCTGCCTGAAAGGATGGCAAATTTTGAAGCCATTTATGGTACACATCTGAAGCCATTATTGAATATATCAAATTCTCCCCTGAAATAGCCACCTTGAGAAGAAGAACAACCAATTATACCAACAAGAAGGACTCTTTCAGCATTAGCTGTTTGAAATAATATGCAAGTTTAGTGATCCCCAAATCTTGAAGAGAACATTTCAAGAAGTAGAATAAACCCATGTGTGCTCAGGGTGGCCTCTGAAATGATGACTCAAGGTCATTTTTTAGAAGGGTTCCCAAGCCAGCTAGAAGACATTCCTGAGTGTCCTTGGGTCAGTAAATGTACCTGACCTTTGTCTTCCTCCTCCTGAGTCAACTGTGGTTTTCTTTGATTAATGATAATAGAGACTTTATTGGGCTACTGTGAATAATGGCAAGCAGTCTAACTATGCAAATATCATTCATTGCACCAATAATACTAAATCCCATTACTAGTCCTGGCATAGAACCACATATAACAAAACTAGGTACATTCAAAACCTACTTTTTTCACCATGGGCCCTTTAGGAACTTCTTTATTACTTTCATATAAAAGCCTAAACAATATAGAAGCTTCTCTTCAGTTTTCATAATGCTGTAGTTTAAAAGCAAACACATGTACATATGCATGTGTGTACACATTCAAACACAAATGAAGGAAAGATCAATGGTTTAAATTGCAAACTAAAATGTGAAAAAGATAAAAAGATTCCATTTAATACCCACTGCAGAACAACAGGATTAAAGAGAGGAGTTTTGTCAGGAGACCTTGGGCTCCAGGCACAGAGCAGAGAAGCTGGAAAAAGGACAAGGACAGCTGGAGAGGCGGAATACCATTGAAGGACCCTGCAGATGCACCATAGCTAGCTGCCACCTCTCCCAGTACCAGCTTTCCTGAGCTGATCATCAGTTATTATCTGTATTGTCAAACATTAAAGCATTCCTGCCACTGCAAAGTCCAATGTCTCAGACTCAGAAGGATAAATAAAGGGAAAAGCAGGACAGGGTTTTATGCCTGCAAACACACTGTGCATCATCATGGCACAAAGAGATCAGGGCTTCAGGAGGGGATTTAACTACTGAAAAATAAACAAAGGGGAGACAGTTCTTTTGTGACCCCTTTTCCCACAGGAGGAGATAACAGAAGGTATTTACTATGTGTTCCTGTTCCCAGTTGCTACAAATTAAGAGTCATCTGCTTTTATTTAATAACATTTGGAGATCGGGGGCGAGGGGTGTCTTCACAGAGTCACACAATGAGGCTGGAGAGCCTGTTCTCAGAGCCTCGGTTCCTGGGTGTTGTTGATCTGTCTGGGACTCGGAAGATGTACCAAGTCGAGCTACGTGAGGGGACCCTATGCTTCATAAAGCACCAAACAACAAACCCACCCTGCAGCAGCTCCTTGTCACACACATGCCAGTCTCCCAGATGCTAGCATGAGGGGTTTGGGGACTCCACCTGTGTGCAGCCTTCATGATGCAGCTGATGTACCATCATCCACTGAATCCCTCCCCAGACCCCAGAGCTAGGAAGCTTTGTCCTCCCCCTCTGCAAAGACGAGGAAACTAAGGCTCAGACAGCAAGAGAGAAAAGGAGCTCCTGCAGCCAGCACTTCACAGCAGCCCTGCTGGCTTGGTGTGGAGCATGCTAGGCACCTCAGGCACTCATCTCACAGGCCACCTGACCAGGATGGTCAAGACAAAAGCAAGGCCCCTTAGTAATTACCCCCAAGTCCAGGCAAAATGTGTAAAGCCTCACATTGACTAGACCACTGATCAGCCTGATGGCAGCCACTTCACCAGTGACGGCTGCAGGCTCCTCCTGAATACCCTCTCTGTGGATCCAAAATGGCTCTGCCCCATGTCCTCTAGGCACTTAAGCCAGAGCGAAGCTCTTCCAAATCACCTACCACAGCCCCACTTCACCTCCAGGTCAGTTCCAACACCTGCCACTGTAGGGCCCAGGTCCCCAAGCCAGCCAGGTCACCTGTAGTGCATCCTGGGGTCACTATCTGGAAGGCATTGCCAGCAACACAGGTCACTCAACTAGTGAGCAATTGTATCACTCACACAGCCACTGAGGGCAGGTAGTGACCCAGGCAGCCAGTGCCCCACTCCTGCCACCCCAGGTAAGCAGCACAGCAAAGACACAAACTCTTTCCCAGTGTCAGGGACAGAGACTGCTACAGTCATTTTGGTTTCACAAGAACCCTGCATTAACTTTACCTATCGTCATTGCTTGTTTTGTTTTTCCACCAGATGGAAAAGCAATGTCTTGACAGTCACTTGATAGTCTGTAGCTCTAAAAGTTCCAGGGAGCAGGAGCAGAAGATGGGAATGGAGAATATAATCTTGACAATGCCATTGCCCCACCTCAGGAGACCTCTGCCCCGTCTCTGTCTCTCCCTCCCTCTGTGACTCTGCCCACGTGCCTGTCTGTCCCATCTGCCTGGCATTCAGGGGATTCGGACTTCCTTGCATGTGCCGAGGCCCAGAGGCCGCTACAGGCTGCGGCTCTTGGAGGGCTTGGCCTGGCCACGGTCAGCACAGGGTAGCAGGGACTCAAAGCTGCACTTGTAGAGCAGGCAGTTTTTAATCAGATCAGGAAAAACATGATTTCTAATCATGCTTTTCACTCACTGGTTGCATAATCTTTTTTTTAATTGTATGTATTATTGTCATTTCTTTGGAGTGGCTTGGGGACAGGCACACAGAGACAATGGAAAGAGGTCTCAGGTCCCCCTCCCAACTATTCCCTAGCAGGGCCACCCGAGGTCATCCTGCTCTGCTTTGTCTCCCAGCTGGAGCAGGGAGACAGGGGTCTTGTGTCTTTTGTCTTTCAGTCTAGTGTCCCTCCTCGGTGGATGAAGGAGAGAGGTCTGCCAATGTCGCATTCATACAAATGCACAGATGAAGGTCCCCCGCCCCCGCTCCCCAACACACTGGAAATGATCTGCAGGGACCCTATAAACTCTCCCCACAATTAAACCACGCTCACCCAGTGCCTCATCAAACATTTATCATGTAGTTCTGCCTCACACAGCCGTGGGGGAACAAGGAGGTAAATATGCCATCCTTACCCCTAAGGAGCGTAGAATCTAATTATCTTCTAGAGATCCTTTGGGGATCTGCTTAATAAATCAATACGAATGATTTGTAATTAGAATATCAATTATTTGTATGCAAATGTGGCCTTCTGGGTGCTTGGGGACAAGTCCTAAGGATTGAAAAGACTCTTTCCCTCACCCCACCCTCTTCAATTCTTAATTACATTATTTCCTTCATTCATCAAACATTTATTGAGCACCTTTTACGTGCGAGGCACAGAGATGGGGACCAGGAATCATTCCCTGGTGACTCAGTCAGCAATAAAGAGCCCAGGGAGTTTGTGACCATGGGAAAAGCTTTCTATATTTTCCCCAGTCCCCCAACGTCCCCAGTTACCTAGGTCACAGAGACTCAGGGCTGAGGAAGAAAGACCCTCCCAGAGAACAGGTCATTCATATCATCGTGCTCCTTTTTGCAAAGGTATGGGCATGCGTCTGTCTCTGTGACTACCCCACCCCAGCCAGGCTGGATCTGAGACGCTGGATCTTCAAGGATTTTAACAAACCTGTGCACAGAATTTTCCTGAAATGCCAGCCCCTGTGGCCCCAAGTCCTCATCCACCTGTTCATCCCTTTGCTCCTCCACTCTCTCCTCCGCCTATTGTGCCTCAAGCCCTGCTTTGTGCCAGAGGCGGGTGTCACACCAAGCCAAGATGGGCCCTCCTGGAGCCTGCTTCCTAGTGGGGCCAGAGACCATAGATAAATAAGTCCATATCCCACATCTGTGAAATTTGCCCCTGCCCTGCACTGTGCTGCATCCGATCACCACCCTCTGCCTCCAGGTTCTCATTTCTCTCCGGCCAGGTACTAACTTTCCCTGTGCCTCAGTTTCTTCATCCGGACACCCAAAAAAAGAAGAGTGTTACTGGCTCGTTATGGTGAGAACGTGTGAACAATGCACATGCAGCTCTTGACAGGGGCTGCCGCACACCTTTGCTCAGTGGTGGCTGCAGCTGATTCTAGCTCCTCTCCCAGTCAGATTCCAGAGTACCAGTGTAAGGAAGACCTTTGTAAATGCAGCATGGTATCCTGGATCAGATCCTGGAACAGAAAAGGGGCGTTAGTGTGAAAACTGATGACATCTGGAGCCTGGAGTTCCATTAATAATAATGTACCAATGCTAGTTCCTTAATGTGGACTAGTGTACTAGGATTTGTGTAAAATAACATTAGGGGAAACTCTTAGGGAGGTACAAGAACGCTCTGTTCTGTATTTTTAACTTTTCTGCATATTTAAAACTATTCCAAAATAAGTTTCCTTAAAAAAAAAAAATAGGTCTATGACAATACCATTGTGAGAGTGCCTGGCCTCATCAGATCTTGGAAGCTAAGCAGAGCCAGACTTGGTTAGTACTTAAATGGGAGACTGCTTAGGAATGCTGGTTGCTTATAAAATTATTTATAGGGATCTAGGACAGATGGGTAATTGTATAACTCCTCTGTATAAACATATTGGGCAGGGCAGGGCTGGGGATGCAGCCCGATGACAGAGTCCCTGCTTAGCATGTGTGAGGCCCTCATTCAATCCCAACAAACAAAACCAAAAAACAAACTTGGACAGATCTCAATGGGTAAGACCTAGCCTCTGTAGTGTGACACAGAAGTTCCCTTGTCCCTCCTCCCTAACTGGCCATCCTTTTTGGTCCTTGGCCTCCTCATCTGTCAAGTGGGGACAAACGCATCCCTGGACACTTGGAGGATGGCACAAGTCAGCAGGACATTCCTGCCAGCACCAGTCCCGGGCCATGCACTCTACTGCAACTCTCCTGTTCCCCGGGCGCCGCCGAGCTCTGCTCACCTCACTTTCTCTGCCTATAAAGGGCAAGTGACTGTAGCTGAGACCGTCACAAGGGCTGGAAACTCTTGAGTGCTGTGGCAGCATAACTGTGGCTCCCCAGAGGGTTCCACAGCCTGTGCCCCACCTTTACGTGTGGCCCTTGCTGGCAGAAGTCACCTCGCTGCTGGCCGAGCCCAGGACTCCTGGTGGGAAGGTGGTTCTGGATCACCCAGGTATGTCCTTCCAGGAGGTGGCGGGCCTCACAGGCAGAGGCAGGAAGATGAGGAGGCAGAGCTCTGTCAGGGAGTGAGAGAGGACAACGCTACAAGGCTGCCTTTGAACGTGGAGGAAGGAGCCAAGTGCCATGGAAGCGGGGAGACCTCTGGAAGCTGGGCCACACAAGGACAGGTGACCCTACAACCTCTGCACTGCCATAGCCGGCCCAGTTTTGGATATCTGAATTCCAGAGCTGTAAGACACTGGGGTGATTTATTACAGCAGCCACAGGGAACCAGCACATGGGCCAATCCAGTACCTGTAGAGAGCAGGAGTCCTCGCTCCTTGGGGTCCCCAAGCAGGTCCTTGGTAGCCTGGGGCTCAGGACTTTTGCTGTTCTCCTCTTCCTTCTCTTTCCTGTCAAGATCTTTCAGAAACATAGAATATTAAACAAGTAGATACTACATTCATATATATAAACATATATAATAAAACACAGCTGGGTGTGGTGGTGCACACCTGTAATCCCAGTGTCGCTGGAGGCTAAGGCAGGGGGATTGCAAGTTCAAAGCCAGCCTCAGCAACTTAGGGAGGCCCTAAGCAACTCAGTGAGACCCCGTCTCTAAATAAAATTTTAAAAAAGGGCTGGGGGTGGCTGTGATTGTGGCTCAGTGGTAGAGCGCTCTCCTAGCATGTGCGAGGCCCTGGGTTCAAGCTTCAACACCACATAAAAATAAAGATATTGGTCCAACTACAACTAAAAAATAAATATTTTTTTTAAAAGGGCTGGGGATGTGGCTCAATGGTTAAGTGCCCCTGGGTTCAATCCCCAGTCCCCCAATATATAAAATACACAAACATACATATATATTCAAGACGGCTTGCTAATACCATGAGCTTTCAAGTATCCTCCACCCCAGGCCCCAGGGTGAAGTTCACTTTCTCTTTGTAGAAGTCTTCAAGGTACCCCGCAGAGATATTGAGGTCCTGGTAGCCAACCCTAAATGCATCTGCTACTCTATTTGCTCACATGATGGATCCTGAGGAGAGGCAGACAAATAGAGAACAAGCTAAATATTGAAAGAACGATCAAGGCTTGCCGTTGGAGAAAATGCCCGTTTATTGAGGCAGCTCTGCATATTTACAGAGGCAGGCATGGTCTGATGGTTGAAACAGTTTAACAGTTTAACGGTTTGGGCAGCTGGCATGGGGTGCTTTCTGATTGGTGGGTAAGGATCATATGAGTCAGCAGGACTCACCATTGGACGGCTCTTCTCGGGGCATGGGGAGGTTAGTTTTTGAAGCTGGGGCGACGCCCAACAAATATCAAATAGGCAAAACGCATAAGAAAGTCAATCACACTCTATTAAAATCAGATTAAAAACAGGTGAGTGAATGAGTGGTGAGGAAGGGACTGAAACCAGAGAGGGCAGAGCTGACATGAGATAGATCCAGGGGCAGAAACCATGATGGGATTTAGCAGTCACCCTTCCTGCGCATCCCAGCTGATCAGAGAGCGTGGCAGCGTGACCGACCCTACGCAGAACACAAGAGGTCAAAGATTCAATGGAGAAGTCTAAACCTTTCTTATTTTAGAATAGCCATGGAGTAGCCATGGAGTTACAAAAAATTGCAGAGATGCTGAACAGTGTCTGTGTGTCCAACACCTAATTCTCCCATTGTTGAGCATCCTACATCTGTGTGGTACACTGTCAGATCCAAGGACCCATTACTGAGATGAGTAGTATGTTACTGTTAACTAAATTCTGTGTCCTAGACATACTTCCTCAGCTGCCCCCAATGTGCTTTTTCTGTTCCAGGGCCCCATCCAGAATGCCACACAACATTGTCACGTCTCCTTAGGCTCCTCTGGGCTGTGACCTCTTCCTGTGACTCACCCTGTTTTGATGACCTTGGAAGTTTAAGGTGTTCTAAGCAGGTGTTTTACTGGATGTCCTTCAGCTTAGGTTTTTTTGTTTATATATATATATATATTTTTTTTTTAATTTTATTTTTCCTGTGACGGGGTCCCCTCGTGTTACCCAGCCTCAAGCTCTTTCGTTCGAGTGATCTTCCCATTCCCGAGTAGCTGGAACTACAGGTGTGCACCTCATCTTATGGTTGCACTGGTGTGGAGACCCCAGAGTGCAAGATGCTTACATCAAGGTTGCCTCCCACCACCAAGGTTTGTCAGCGATGAGGTCGATCTTGATCACCTAGCTAGTGGGTGCTTCCTCAGTTTCCCCACTTTCCATGCCAGACTCTGAAGCAAAGTCACTAAGTGCAGCCTTTGCTTACAGGGAGGCCTGATCCCGCTCCTTGAGGGAGGAGTGCCTCATGTAAACTATTTGAAATTCTTCTGTATGGGGGATTTGTCTTGTCAACTGTTCGATTATTTATGTCATCGTGGACTCCAGGGTATTCGTTTTCTACTCTGGGATGCACTTCAACACCGTGTCGTGCAAGGTTGTCATCTCAGCTTGGACTCTGGGAGCCCTTTCATTTGGCACCTCTGCCCTGTGATGTTCTCCCCTTGCTTCACCTTTTGAGCTCTTCTTTATTTTCTGGCACTGTAAGTGGTTATAGGTTCATCTTGTATATTCTCTGCTCCAGGCCAAGATTCATCCTTTTTTTTTTTTTCCCAAGGAGTCTGATTCCATTTATGGGGGAACGGAATAAGAACTGAAAGATGAGGCCCGAATGCAATAAAGTATTTCTAACATGACAGCTTCTTAGGAGACTTCTGTTTCTGGCACTATGGAGGATTAGATATGCTGAGTGACCTTCCCAATCAAAACAGCTCACACCCTGGATAAAGTGTTTTAAATGCATCAATAAGCTGGCACAAGGGGTGCTCTGAAGCCAAACAGTGAAGGAAAGATGAAACTCTCAGAGATGAGTTGTGTCCTGAAGCTGGGTTTTGTCCTGGGGAACTGTGGAAGTCAGTGGGCAAATACTTTGATTTTTCTCAGTCTTTTGGGTTTCACAGGACAGAGCACAAAGATCAGGTTATGTCCCTGCCCAAGTTGGAGAGTCTAGTAGGTTCATCCAGGACCCAGTGAACCAAAAATATCATGCACAGCCCAAAGGAGGAACAGCAGATGGAGGAACTTACAGAGAGAGAGAAGGTCATGTCTTCTAGGTACCGTGAATGCAGGGTAGCTTCCCAAATGGTTTGCAGCCTAAATGCACAGGACCCACATGGTCTGAAAACCCTCAGCTGAGCAGTGAAATTTGCACTGGCTGGTGCTCACCCACCACCTACCCCTGGCAGAAGCCAAGGCAAATCATTTCTGAAGGAGCCACCACCCTTCCATGCCTGGCAGATTGAATACTCCACTAACAGCTACGATGATGTTTGCTACCCCATGTTCTCTCCTAGAATCTGGCTGCACCCCATTGGGAGGTAGAATCTCTGTCCCCACCCTTTGGTTCTATCTAGAGGCCACAAAGAAGGGAGCCTCTGTGGCTTCTGAGGCTAGGTTAGAAAAGGTGACATAGTGTCTCCCAGGTGCTCGCTTTGTCTCTTATCTCTCTGAAGGAAGTCTCCCTGTCTGTCTGAAGCCTGGCACATGGATCAATCATGAAATGTCTCAGGGTAGTGGCCGCCAGCCACCTGGCTGGGCTCATCCATGCCGACCTGTGTGCATTCCAGCCTATCCGTCTTTGTCCTGGCTTCTCTCAAAATGCTCCCAGTATCTTTCTTTGCCTGAGGGCCTGGCATCATACTGGGTAGTACTAACTTTGCCATTGAGGATGGGGGCTGGCTACCAAGACCGATAGTGTGACGTAGGGTAGGGGTTTTGGATTGTGTGATATCTGTCGACCTGGAGAATGAAATCAGTTGTGTGGGCAATCAATCAATCAATCAATCATGTAATATAATAGAGCCCCAGTAAAAAACCCTGGACACTGAAACTGGAAAGCTTCTGTAGGAGGTTGACATTCTGGGCATGTGGTCACATGCTGACACATCCTGATCAACACATCCTGGCTCTGCAGGGAAGGACTGTGCACACTCCACATCTGGAATCCTCTGATTTTAATCTACATCCTTTTGTCATTCCCCACATTCTGTGCGTCCTTCTGGAGAATTATCAAGCAGAAGGGTGGCTTTAGGAAGCTACTGAAGCTGCAGGTGCTGTCAGAGACACAGAGACCTTAGGGATTATCCTTGAACAGGGTGGCTGTCCCTGAATCCCCTGCACACCTCAGCCACTGGTTCCCTGTGTCTCCGAGGCCTGAGAGCCGCCTAGCTGAGCCTGGTCAGGCCTTGAAGTGTAAGTCACAATGATGGGGCTGTTGCTATCTGAAGGCACTGGGTTTGGGGGTGATTAGTAACTGAAATGCCAGGCCTCCGAGAATGCTCAGCTAAGGTTATAAAGCCACAAGAAGAGGCTCCGAGTGGGAGCCCGCAGAATGGCAGAGCAGGACTCTAATGGAAAGTGTGTCTCTCACATTTATAGAAAAAGGAGGGTGGTCAGGAAGCCGTTCTCTCTCAGCCATGGACACACCCTAACCCTGGTTTGAGAAGCTGCTGAGGCTGAGCCGTGCCATCTCCTCATATGCCGGCAGAGGAACATAGGAAGACTGGAAAGCAGGACAGGGCAGGGGGCCTGCTCCTTCCTGCCTGCTTCATGTCCCCTCAGCGTCCCTTTAGTGTAACCCTTCACTCAGCAGTGGCAGCTGTGCCAGTGTCCAGATATTTCTGGCAACCCTAGAAGTGGCCCCATGGCATCCCTTTCACAGCCCCAGCCATGGCCAGTTTGCGCTCCGCTTCTGTGGAATACCATGGAAACTGGCAGAAACTCCCATTCAGTTATCCTCCAACCCCCAGCCACTAGAAAGCCCGTTCACCACACACCACTGACCGCACTGCACTGACCTCACTGTGGGTTACATCGTGACCTGCTTGTGAAGTGCTCATTGCAACAAGAAGTGCAAAAAGTGCCCATTACTCACCAAGCAGCAGCTGCCCTGACTACAGAACTCTGGGGTGAGACTGCTGCCTCTGATTCCATAGGGCTAGAACAGAAAGCAAACAACCAGCATCCATCTCTGAACTCTCTGCTTAAATTACAGAAAACCAAAGAGATTATATGGATTCCTTAAAAAAACAAAAACAAAAACAAAAACAAAAACAAAAACAAAACAAAACAACAACAACAACAAAACCCTTTATGTCTTGTAGTGATAGATTTTCAAACTTCCTAAGTATCATACCCCAAATGTAACTGGGTGAGTTGTGAGAAGACATTGGTAAATGTCCCCCAACTCCAGGGCACACACTCCAGCAATGACTCTGGAGAGGCAGCTCCGTGGTGGAGGCAAGAGGCCCTGAGCTCTATCCACAGCGCCAATAAAGAAAGAAAAGAAAATGAAATTCAAAAGCTCTTGGGACTGAATTAGTGACCAAAAGAGAGATCTGAAGAAATATCCAGAATGTAGGACATGAAGATGTAAGATTAAGGTGCGACAGACAGCTTAAGAAATAGGAGGAGTGGCATGAAAAACTTTTAAAGATTCATTTAATTCTTTCCCCTCCCTCCATCCCTTCCTGCCTTCTCTTTCTTTCTTTCTTGATCTACAGTAAATAATGCATTTTATTCTTTCTCTCCTGCTTTCCAATCTTCCTCTTCTACTCTATTAGATTCGAGTGGATGTTAATGAATATAACTGAAACAAAAGTTTCATGAAACAATACAATTTCACTGCAAATTATCTACCCCCCCCCCATTTTTTTTTCCTCAATGCTGATAACAACCAACTCAATTGGTCCACTTTTGGGAATCGAAACTACAGTTTAAAAAACACTAGTTGAATAAAACACAAATCACAATCCCAGATGTAAAGAATGAGAGAATAGGGTTGATGTAAAATTTAAAAAAGATAGCATCTCCCATGCTACAACACAGCTGAACCCTAAGACATCATGTTCAAGGAGATAAGCCAGTCACAAAAGGAAAATATCGACTGCAGGTACCTAGAGTAGTCACGTTCATACAGGACCTGGGAGGAAGTGGAAATGAGGAATGACTGTTTAAGGGGTCCATTTCCAGTTTTGCAAGATGAAAGGAATTTGAAGACAGGCGATGATGATGGTTGTACAGCAACATGAATATACTTAAATGCCACTGAGCTGTGCACTTAAAAATGGCACCTGGTCAATTCTGTTATGTATATTTTAGCATGATAATAAAGTAAAATGAAATTGAGAAATGTATTATTACTACTACTATTATCTGGGAATTTTTCAGAATGATGAAAGACACTAATCAACAAATTCAGGAAGCCCAAAGAATTCAAGGAACATAAATTTTAAAAGATACATCTTGGTGAAACTGCAGAACACAAGAACAGAGGGGAAAATGTAGATTTCCTTTGAAGGGATAATGATAAGATTGTCATCTGACTCCTCCGGAAAACATGGGAGCAGGGGGTAGAGGATGGTGCCTGTACTGTCCTGAGACACAGAGAGAGAGACTGCTACTCCAGCAAGCAAGTGGCCGGATGCTTTAAGAACCAGGGAAAATAAATTCATTTGCAGACAAAAACCAAGAGAGCTTGCACCAAACAACCCTTAAAAAAGTAAAAATTAAAGAATGTACTTCAGACACAAGTAGAATGATCCCAGTTGTGTAAGTTGAGATGCAAGAAGAAAAGATAAGCAAACAAGTTGTAACCATGTGGTTGAATTGACTATATAAAACAAGTTAATAACATTTCACAGGGTTGAGGTAGAAAAGACTAAACCTACACTACAATTAACACATACAATTTAGCTGATGGGTGATTAAAGTATTCCAAAGTCCTTATAGTTCAAGGGTACAGATATTTTAAAAATTAGACTTTCATAAATAACTTGTCAAAAATTTTAAGATAACCGCTAAAACAATAGAAATAGAGTACATGGGCTGGGCTGTAGCTCAGTGTGAGGCACTGAGTTCCAGCCTCAGCACCACATAAAAATAAATAAATAAAATATAGTGTGTCCATCGACAGCTAAAAAAAATATAAAAAAAGAAATAGAGCACATAAGAGAAGAAAAACAGATTGAAAAAAAAAAATCAACTCCAAGGAAGCAAGAAAGTGGAAAAAGTAAAAAGCAAGGAGAACAATAGAAACAACAGTATAAGCTGGGTATGGTGGCACACGCCTGTCATCCCAGCAACTCAGGAGGCTGAGGCAGGAGAATAGAAAGTTTAAAGCCAGCCTCAGCAACTTAGTGAGACGCTGTCTCAAGAAAAGGGTTGGGGATGTGGCTCAGTGGTAAATCATCCTTGGGTTCAATTCTCAGTATCTCCTTCAAAAAACAAATAACAATATAAGATGGTAGAAATGAATCCAGTTATATTAGTAAATATAATAAGTATAAATGGACTAAATGCCCCAGTTAAAAGACAAAGATTATACTTGAAAACTTTCAAGTATACAGAGAAGTGGGAAGAATAGAATGAAGAACATCTGTATTCTGACCAGAAAGCCAACTATTGTCAACAATTTGCCATGCTTGTTTCATCTATATATGTATGTATGTATGTATGTATGTATGTATGTATAGGAGATATTAAGGAAACCTATTTTATTCAGCTAATATTACACAGTGGAACACTATTTTAAATGGTAATAATGATGTAGAGCATCTATTTTTGAGGTCAAACATATCTGGGTTCCCAGAGATTTTTTAATCATGTAATTAATTTGTTCATTATTTATTTAAAGAATGCCCTTAGGTGCTAGCAAGAGAGTAGGAATCAAGCAACTTTTCTGGTCATTATATTTCTAAAAAGGTTTGTTGCATAAAAAAATGGCGTCTATTAGTAAAGGCTCCAGCATAGTGTTTGTTGCACAATAAACATTAAATGTAGAGCAGCTTTTATTTATGATAGCTGCTTGTTGTTGTTGAAAGCATTCAGCAGAGTGGCACAAAATAAGCAAACAATAATTGGTAGTTTATTATGTTTATAATTATTATTTATGATCCATCACAGTGCATATAGCACATATCACTCACCCATAAACACCACGTTTATAATAATAAGTGCTTTCATTATTATTCAAGTCTCTAACAGTGCCCGGCACCACATGAGCAACAGAGATGTGGAAGCCGATACTTGTTAATTATTATTATTAAGCAAAGCACTTAACTCAACGGCTGGCCCGCCAGGCCTCTAATAAACAGGCTTGCAGGAACTGACACCCAGGCCGCCCCTCCTCCCAAGCAAAGCGAGGCCCCGCCCCCTGCTGCCC